TTTCTTTCCTCTTTTGTGGTCCTAGGGATTGAACCCAGAACCCTTGTGCTGAGCTATGTCTCCAGCCCTTTTTATTTTTTTTATTTTTTTTGTTTTTTTTTTTGGTTTTTCTCCGGTACCGGGAACCGAACTCACGACCTTGCGCTTGCCAGGCAGGCGCTTTTGCCGCTGAGCTAAATCCCCAGCCGCCCCCCATATACTTTAAATCACTTCCAGATTACTAATAATACGTAAGACAATGCAAATGCTACCTAAATAGTTGTTATATTGAATCGTTTAGAAGATAACAAGTACGTACATGTATACTCAGATGCAACTGTCCATTTCCAACTAGTTGTAGATTAAAAACATTCACAAATGCAGAATCCATGTGTTAGTCACAGTTAAAACCACCACCAGCGGACTCAAAATGTATCCCCATGGAAAAAAGGGGGCACTACTATACTTAAATTGATGACAAACTTTAAATAAAAATAATGTAAGTAGTAAAAACGTTAGTGTCTTTCAGCCTGGGGTTTATTGTGTCAATGACTTAAGCACATGACTCCAAGCACTCACCATCAACTTGGGCCTTAGTTGTTCCATTAAAACCTGTAATGTGAGGGCTTTATTGGTCTTCTCCTGCCTTAGCAAGGAGACTGACTTTACTTGAGCATCTCAGATTCCTATTTCCCTGCCCAAATAGAAACTCTCAAAACGCGCTGGAGGAAAAGGTGGCCTTGCCTGCTGTGCAGACACCTGGTCACTACACCAGCTTCACACAAACGCTTCTGATTTTCTCTCTCCATGTGCTTGTTTTTCTTTCATCTCAAACTAAAGCTGCACTGAAGAGGACCACATTAGCGTACTGGAGCACTGCCTGAAGGTATAGACCACGCCCCACCTCCAACACTGATGCTAACAGCGGTTTGTGATTTTGATGTTTCCATGGATTTAATCAACAACACAAGGGTCACGGCAATACTAGAATTTTCAGTGTTACTTGCTGTATGAGCCACAACGCTGAGAATGATCTGAAAGATCTGTTTACTAGCATCAATAATTAAACATCTTTACCAAGGTAGCTTTTCTAAAAACACTGAAGGAGAGAAAGTAAAAGGGAAAAGGGAAAAGGGGCAGCGGGGAGGGTCAGTGAGAACAAGTAAGAAACTAGACTTTTCTAAATACGTATTACAGTGGCTTGTTAAACAGTTACCTTGTTCTACAAGTGCTCTCTTTTTCAGAGTACATTGAAAGTGCTTTTTTCTTTCCTTTCTTTTTCTTCCCCTGTGGGAGAAGTGAAGCAATGAAGAAAATGAAAAGAGTGCATTTAAGTGCCATATTCGCACAAGGCTAACTTGTGAAAGCTCGATCCAGCTGACTCTCACAGGCACCAGTGGCCAACAAAACTCCAGTTGAGAAGACTAATTGAGATTCCTCAGAAGTGCGCCCTTGTCTTAGCCCGTTGCACACGTCTCATTAGGCATTCTGTGTCGTCCCCCTCTCAAGACTAAATCCGACTCTGCTTGGCCTGAGTTTACAGCTCGTGAAGTTCCAACAGCTTCAAGTGCACCGTTACTGCGGGTGTGTTGGTTTTGCTTTGCACCTCCATTTGCTTGTTTTCCTCTCAAACTAAAGGTGCACTGAAGAGGACCACATTAGTTGTACTGAGTACTGCCTAAAAGATAAAAGCAAGGACTGTGCTCCACCTCCAGCACTGTAACACACAGCCTGTCCCCACTAAACACCGCTAGTCACAGGCTGAACAGGTGTTTCCTGTAAACATGGGTCATCAGCAGTGATGGCAAGAGCTCACACAGGACAGTAAACTCACAAAATCTTATTTTCTCTTTCAATTCTCTATATAGATGCAAAACTGGAACATTCAACTTTTGTTATACCAGTCAATGCCTGGTATCATTTGACTATTGTTACTTTCTTCTTTACAGAAAAAGACGTGTTGTGGATTCTGTGCTTTCTTTAAAAATGCCTAAGGTATTACTGTCATGTGGAGCTACATGTTTACTTTAAATATTTAATGAGAAGCTTCTCTCATGAGCTGCAAAAACTCTCTTGGCACAATTATAGAGAAATTTCTCTTCCTTGCTACTGAATATCCAGAACGATAGGCTTGCAAAGAAGCACGGCGGAATGAAAACAGTACAGAGGGCTCGACGCACTGCTACCATCATCATCATCATCACCGTCATCGAGTTTTTCACCTGTATGTAACCAACTGGCATATCCATACACATATTTACATACGTGAACGTGTGGGTGTGTATGTATTTCAAACACACATATAATTGATCTATCCCTAATCCCAAAGTTGGCTGAATTATTCCATTTGTGTTTTTTATACACATACAAAAAATGTTTACAAGTTGCCCTCACCTAAAACAACTCATTTCTGCAGATACTTTGTAATTTATTTTGTATAATAAAGGCAAAATTTATTGCTATAAAATTTAAATAAGTATCTTTCTAATTGAAGTTAAAATAGTGCCACTGAATATACTTTTTCAATTTCCAACATTTTTATGATGTTGTGAAAGAAGGTCTACTAGTACATAAATTCCACTGTAATTTTTATCTTTTAATGTATTTTCTACTAAAAAAATCAGGCTGTCAAGACAGGAAAATATTACTGGTTATTACAAAAACAAGTGAGAATTTTTAATTCACAAAGAAAGAAAACACAAAACACTGATCTCACGTACAAATATTATAGTAAGATGATTAGCCACACACTAATAAAACATTTAAGACTTCACATACACACGTCTGCACTTTGAAACAAGCAGCACAGGAAGTTTTTTTTTTAATCTTTGATATGTTCATGACCTCTAAGAGAACATCACAGATCACAGGTCTCACCGTTTACCTGGTATAAAAATCAGGATATACACCGCCCTAAAGCACACTGTGTTAATAATGATATCTTTCAGCAAATACAAACATTCTGATTTGGGACATTCTCTGTCCACCTAAAACAATCTGCTTTGGCTGTCAAGTAGTTTGGTTTGTTATCCATTTAACAAGATCACAACAGCAAATACAATGTTTTTTCACCACATGACTAAGGGGAGAAGTTTTTAGACAGGTTATTCCTCCCCTACCCCAAGTCCTGAAAAAAAAAAGTTCCCAAAGAAGACAATCTGTAAATTATAAATGTAATTTAAGCAAAAAAGAATATTGGTCAAATCACTCACTTTCAAGTACAAATGAAGAAATAAAATGTGCGTTGGATACCGAGAGGTGCTAGCATGGAAAGGAATGGAAAGGATGTAACATGAGGAAAGCACTCTACGCAACAGGAAATACTGGGTTCAGCTGATTGTTTTTCAGATGAGGTATAAGTATATGAGAGGAAATGAAAATCAAAAAAAAAATTAAAACCAAAATGCACATTTCCAATGGAAAAATCTCTAAACCTCTTATATTTTTCTTTATTAGATTAGACATTTCGTATACAGCAGTTAATCTAGAAAAATACACTTAAAAAAATTTTCAACAGACCATGCTCCCTGTAACAAAACCTTCCAAACCCTGTTTTATTATACAAATCAATATACATTAGTAATGTAAAAAAAACCTCAAATTTAGCAATGTCATTTTCCATCCAACATCCATCTAATTTTATATGGTTTCTACTATTCAGACTGGAGAGTTAGAATTCTCTAATAATTTTTTCTAATGTATTCTGTACATATTGAATACTCTAAAAGGTTCCTCTTGTAGTGCATTTACCATTTAGCAAGTTTATTCAGTATTTTTCCAGTACCATTTGCATTACAGTAATCTGCCTGTAAATGTAATTAAAATCTAAAAGTGCGCACAGTTAGCTTTCTTAAGGAATGGCCTACTTCTGGAGAAAACCTAATATCCACAGAAAGATTACCATTAACATGATTAGAAACATAGGGTTAGAATGTACTCTGAGACTATACAACATGATTATGTACACAAGCTAAAGGACATTAAGTCCTTAGCCATATTTACATCAAAAAACGTCTGTTTCCACAGGGTCACACCAAGAACTCGATATGGCACTAGATATAATTAGAATTGTTAGCTATAAATTCAGCATAGCAAGACAGCTCAAAAATACTCTGAACTGAGTTATGCAAACTAGAAGTCCAGTACATCACAGTGTTTTAGGTAGGGTTAGTGTGCTGCCCAAACAAGCAACTACAGTGTGCAATGAGGACACTGTGCTCCACAGTGAACAGCAGGCCTCACCAAAGGCTGCAGCCAGGCTACCGTGGACTCTAGCACTTTAGGCTGCACTGCATGCAAAACCCTGAAGAAGAGATACACAGGTTCAAAAAGGATATACTTCATTTTGTTTTAAATGCCCAGAGTGTTTTCAAAATAACTGATAGTAGGTATTGTTCCACCAAGTAAAGAACTTACAGATCATGAGAAGAAATTCTACATTATCCAGTTTGGGGGGGAGGGGTAGTTTTTCTTATTAAATTATCCAGTGTATATGACTGGTTAGAATTCTAAGTTTTGATTTGTACTGAAATTCAGAGTATGTAATACAAACATTCAGGATAAATGGATCCAAAATTACAGTTTTATCACCTTGCAAGAAAGCAGCAACATGAGGGCCTACCAGGCATTTTCACACTCCCCTTCCTTTCTGACCCTTCAAAAAGTGCAAAATCAAAAGAGCCACTGCTTGGTCCAAAAATAAAACACACTGCATATAAAGATCTGAAACATGGTGGAATCCAGCTTCTGTCCCATAGGTTATCTTCCGTAAGAATCATCGTCCAAAGATGGAATTCAATTCCAGAAGAATTAATTCTACAATCTGATTTTGGTAAACAGTATGAACTGCTATATTACCAGTCTCTTTTTCTGGCTTTAACAGAGTAGGACCAAAAACAATTGCTATACTCTGATAGGTCATTCGGTTTTTTTCTCCATTTTCTATAACTCTAAGGAAAAGAAAAAAAAAAAAAAAACTGTTAAAAGAGAAAACTTCAAAAGAGGGGAAACTTTCAAATTGTATTATAAGCCTATTAGGCTGCAGACAAGAGAACTAACGCTGACTTTCCTCAGGTGACACATTAACTATTTTACAAAGCAAAATTCAATGAATGCCACGTGAACTTGCTTTTGAATAAATACAACTGAAAGGCACAGTTATACACACTGCAGCACACTTTTTCAACGTGGGATCTTTTAGCTTAATTTTCAATACAGGACATAGACTTAAGTGTATGTTACAATTCAGGTAACAATGATTCATGCCCTAGGTTGGGGTATGTTGGTGTGTGTGTGTGTGTATGTGGGTGTGGGTGTGTGGGTGTGGGTGTGTGTGTGTGTGTGTGTGTAGTGATGATGATGATGAACAGATGCTAACATTCTACTACGGTACAAAGAGTAAAACTTTCTATACGTATTTTTTTTAAAAACTGGGATCGTTTACTTTAGTATTCTAATGCTCGTTTAATAGGAACAAAATCAGCTAAGGTGGCCATGCAATCATGTAAAGCCGTGATGGCTTTATTTTAGGTTAGTTTAATATATCTCAATAACCAACCTCATCTTCTATTAATTAACTTTAGCAATAATGTTTGAACACTTACTATGTGCTAAGTGTTATATAAACGTTTCACACATATGTACTCTAATGTAGACTTCATACCAAACGATTTCACCTACATAGAACTGAGCACCCTTTTCTGAATTACGCAGGAAGCAAGGGCACAGCTGGCATCAAGGTCTGGGTCTGAGTGGCCCTCGCCCTCGGGGCCTCCACCTGTATACCATACCTCCTAGCTGTGCAGTTCTCTTACCTTTTCAGGTGTCTAAAGAGAATCTGCATTGTATCTTGATTTGGTTTTGGCAACTGTCTGATTAGCTCCTTAACAGCAGCAACACGCTGTCTTGGTTCTTGCTCTGGGGAGAAAAAAAAACTAGGTATTTTGCAGCAATTCTTATGCAACTGAAAGCAGTGACACAGCTTCAAAGCTGGTATTCGGTAATACACAGTGACATCTGGCGGTCACATTTAAAGTTTCTGTAGTAAAATTACCCACTAAAACCTTGGGTGAAGCAAGAAGATCAAGCAGAATTTTCAGTATCTAGAATACTGAGTGGAATTACATACTTACTAATTGCATTAACAAAATCATTAAAATGGTTAAATGTAAATAGAGGCTCCGGTAACTCTCGAAAAAACATTTTGAGTGCTCCAGTAATGACATGAATGTCTTCCCATTTGCTGTCCTTCAAGTCCAGTTTTTCATCTGAAAAACAGTAGGAACAGGGCACTTGTAAGAATTACTGCAAACAAGTTCTGAAGTTAGGGGTGATGCTTCTGGACAGAGCAGACAGTACACTCTTACCATGATTGACCGCAAATCTCAGCTTCTGAATCACTGCAAGGTTGCCGCTCACTCTGTAGATCCCATCAACATCCAAACCTAACAGACAGTGATAGTTTATGTTTAAAGCACTCATTTGCCTCTTCTGAAGATAGCTGTTTCAGAATTTTTATTCATTAGCATTAGCTTAGACCAAAGGGGCAAATTCTTCCTCTAAATGGCTTTTTATGCACATCTGGCAGGAAGAAAAGAGTGGCAATTCACTCTGAATTCTGTTTAGTAAATAGCAGTAATTCCACTTTGCTTAACGTGTAGACTGTGGCTTAGCTCAAAGACAACACTTCATTCATTAAACTTAAAATACAAACAACTTAAGATAAACTTTTGCAAATACCTGACAGTTAAGAAGCCAGCAGATAACATCAGCCTATTCATTTTTTGCACAAGATTTTGTAAGATAAAATGCACACACTCAAAAACTCTCTTCGAAGTGTTTGACAATGCTGTACACATTTAACGAAGCACATTATCTAATGGGCTATTCATTTCTCTTCAAAGAAAGGCCACTAGTGTGTCTCTAATACTACATGGACAAGAAAAGTCAATGAGACAAGAGACCTGTACCTGCCAAAATGTACAACTCAAATGACACAAGTGTTTTCATGAAATAAAATATTTCTAATGATATAAAATATAAATTAATGATTACAGTCAATATATATAGTCAACTCATACAAATGCAGTATAAATATTGTTACAATTAAACAAAATAGGAATTACTGTCTTATTTTCAGAGTATAACATTAAAAGGGTCTTTTTACCTATTCAGTTACTTTATAGCTAATTTATAGTTTTAAAATGGCATCTCAATCTTAATACAGTAAACTTTCTCCTTGTGGTACCATCTCAGACGTCCTACACCGTCCCATTATTTCTTAATAAACTCAGTGTTTTAATCACTACCTTCCTCATTTTAAGCAAGCAGTAACTCCAAACAGCTTCCAAGGTTACTAGATGCTTAATTAATCACCACATATTGAACACCCAATAGATGTCTAGGGGGTCTTAACTTGACAAGGTGTAAGTTTTTGCAAACAAAATGCTTTTCTTAACGTCTTAGAACCATAAGGAACTTTTGATTGCCTCAATAAAAATCCTAGGTATTCTGATGGTGAGACAATGTGTTGGTTTGCTCAGTGTGAAAAAATGAAATCAAAATCATTCTCTTACCATGTTCTTCAACATGATCAATGCATAACTTCACAAATTTTGGCACTGTGCCATTCTCTCTCTGACACAAATTAGCAAGATTGGCTCCAAATACTTGATCTGAAAGAAATTTTTTTAAAGACAAATCACCTTGCTAGAACTTAGAGAATGGCTGAATCACTCGGGATGCATGTGCAACGTGCAGGTACCTCAGCACCATTCACTGTGACCTGCACCTTACCTGATGAGCACCCTGCCTACTTCTCTGCCTTCACTTCAGACAGCTCTTCAGCACCAAAGCTCATTTTTGGAGAGAGCCTTCCTACTTTGTATTCATTTTGCAGAGGACAAATGTGCCCCTCTCCCGAACTGGGCTCCTTCTCTTTATTACTGGTCTCAGCTAAATGGCTACCTCCTTAGAAAACTCTTCTAACCACCTTTACGCAAGCTATCCCAGTTCATTGCTCTGTTTTATTACTATGTCAGAGTCAGTGTATTTGTCACCATTTCCAAGTATCTTGTCTGCCTGCCACCTGCGTGCAAGCCTCACAAGCACCGGGAGCTGGCAGTTCTTGAGTTCCAGCACATATTCATCGCACCTAGGCTCATGCACAGCACTTACTAAACACTCAAGCATTTTTATAATGACCAAAACAAACACAGGCATGCCCAACATGTGCCAACATCTGACCCCACAGAATTTATTTCAGAGCTGTTCTATAGTCTTTTAACCCAACAATTTAGAAATTCTGCATCAAAATTAAATATTTGAGAAAACAACGTATTTAAAGTGATGAATAAAGTGATAATGTTTTTTATTTTTCAATGAAATGCCTCATGAAAAAATTACTAATTGTTTCTATTAAGTTAATTATCAGGCCTTATTTGCTTGCTTTTTAAAGGCTCTACACATAACATGCCAATTCTTATGTTTCATTCAGGAGTATTTAAGAGTGCTAATTTGAACAACTCTTTAATGAAACCTATTTTTGTATTTTAATTTAGATGCTCTGTAAACAGATGTTCTGGTGACAGTATTTGTTAGAAATCTTAAAATCAGATACAGATGTATGTATTATATGTTATATTACCTTTGTTTTTGAATAAATGTCACTGTTTTCAGTCATGTAATAGGAAATTCTTACCTTTGCAATTAAACACACTTGTAAGAAATAAAAGCATATACCAGGGTATGTGATTTTAAAGAATACTTTCCTGTATTTTTTCAAAAAAAAAAAAAGATCTGAGCTGGGCATAACAGTGCACACCTGTCATTTCCAGCACTCTGGGAGACTGGGGCAGAAGGATCGTAAGTTCCAGCCCAGCCTGGGCAACTTAGCAGACCCTGTCTCAAAATAAAATTTTTTTAGAAGAGCTGGGAGTGTAGCTCAGTGTGAAGTTCCTAGTTTAATCTCCAGTACTGAAAAAAAAAAAAAAAACTTAAATGACAAAAAAATGTATAAAAAAATAAATTAAGAAAAAACTTTCATTAATTTTTTAAAGAGAGCTGAAGGCAAACTGTTAATAAAATTACTCATTCATTTTTTTTTTCTTTCATCCTACTGTTCCAGTTTACGCAAAATTTCTAACTTCTGATCTTCCCTGTGAAAACTAAGGCTCATCATTCATACAACTTCTAAAAATATCTGTATCACTCCTCTGATGCAGGTTTCTAAAAACTTAATCTGGTATTTCTATCAAAGTCAAAGTAAACTTAAACCTTACATGCATACTTTAAAAATCAATTTTGATTACTCAAAATGTCCTTCAACCATTGTATCTGAAAGGTTTATGAATATAGAATGAAAATGTTTTTATTGTTTGTAAATTTTTCAGTTTTTAATTTGAAACGTCTTATTTCTGATTCTGACCAACATTCATTATTATAAACATTACTTATCCTACCTACCTTTAATATAACCTTTTTCACGGACAGCTTGCAAAGTGGGGCGTCGTGTCAGAAACTTCTTTAAGTTTTTCTTGGTTTTCTTCTGTTCTGAAGAATCTATGCTAGATACTTTCATAGCTTAAGACAAACAGATATTAAATATTTTACAAAATCATTTCTGGTAGAAGTTTTTCCACAAAGCACTCAAAACATATTCTCATATGTCAAAATCCCAGTACAAATTCAGTTAGTCCAACTATGATATAGTTTAAGAGTAACGTGAAGGAAAAAACTAACAGAGGCCCAATTTTAAGCAAAACATTTCATTTCTCTCACTAAAAACTGACTATACCTGTACCTTCTTTAGTGTATGTGTCAAGTCATCACTAAGTTATTCTAATTTGTATTCATGATTTCATAAATATTCAGCCTATCTTTTGTAATTCTCCATTTTTACCTTTTAGAAGGTAAAATGACTACACACACATACAAAATTAGTAAAACAGCGCCAGGCATGGTGGCGCACACCTGTAATCCCAGCACTTGGGAGGCTGAGGCAGGAGGATCGTTGCAAGTTCGAGACCAGCCTGGGCTACAAAGTGAGCTCAAGGCGGCCTGAACTGCACAGCAAGACCCTGTCTCAAAAAGACAAAAAAAAAAAAAAAGTAAAACTTCCAATCTGATTAAATAACTTTTGATAATACATATAATTTGTACTATGAGCTAAAATGCATCGTAAGTATTTGCACTACACAAACAGAACTACCTGGAAAATGTCCTGATTTATCAATCATAACAATGAAAATTTAAAAACTGTATTTCTTGAAAGTAAGTGTATCTGGGAAAAGCTGAGAGCACAAAAGTACATTCATAAAGAATAAAAATAACCAGATTTTCACACTGCTGCACAGTGATAATGCTAGTAATAGGCCTAATCTTCATTAGAATGAAAGAGAAAGTAACTGATTTTCTATTCATTCAGTTAATGTGAAGACCAAACAGCTCTTGAACATGTGAATTAGTTAAAATACACTGAACTAAGAGCAGTTACAGCCAATGGCCTATTCAACAACATACTTCCCAAGGGTCTGCCTGAGAACACGCTCTCTTGAACACTGCTGGCTTTCTGCCTACGTGATCTGCCTACATGCCTACAGATGCATGAACCATGCATCTGTGCACAACGCAGACATGCTAGTCCAAAGGAATTACGGTACACAGCCCCTACTCTGCACTTAAAAGTGCAAGATTCTATGTGGAATTTTAAACAATTAACTATATATTTTTAAGTCAGTAAAGTCGAGCTTCTTAAAGGCCTCTACAGCAGTGCATTATAATACATTTTCTCTTGCAGTACTGTAGGCAGTACTGTATTAACCTTAAAATTAATATACCACAGGGATTCATAACATGAAGTTGAAAAATAAAATAATGAGTGAACAAGAATACAAAAACACTAGACTGTATGTACTTAATCTTGTAACTTTTTCTAACATTAGAGGCTGTACTCTGCTTGAAGTATACAGGTATTTATTTAAAACCTCAGAAAAATCTAACAGAACAAATTCATTAGCAAAATAAGCACAGAACAACTTACAACGAAGTTTTTTAAGATCCTTCTGGTCCTTTTCTTTATCCTGCTTTTCTATTCCTGGTGAATCTGGTATCTCTTCTTCTATTGCTTCATCAGTTTCTACTGCCTATTGGTTAGAGGTTTCCCACACACACATTACTTCCTATATTACTTAAGTTGTAATAGCATAATTTTCAAAACAACCAGTAATTGTTATCTATGATTTTAGCAAACCAATTAGTATACAGTGTGCTTGATTCAGATATTCCATAAATCTTTTAAAATATCTTCCTTCTTGATGGCATTAATTTTGATATCCAAGAAAGAAGATACTGCTGATAACTCACAGGATAACAGTTTAAACTGAAGGTGAGACTATTATGTCTCATGTGATCCACTGCAAGAGTAGCACTAATAGCTTTAGGCCACACTAAACTCATGGTGCATACAGCTACATTCCATGACAACGGGTAAGACTTATGGATGTAACAACTATATTTTCTACATGACAAAATAAAAACAACAGCACTATACTGTGATAAGAGTGTAAGACTTAGTCTCACAGGTATATGGACATTAGGAAGTGAAATAAACCCCAGAATTCATCCTAATCTAATCAAGGTAACTTTCAGAAGTTAAAACTGGACTGAATTCTGAAAACTAAAAACTTTCTTTTGTCTTTCACATGGAGGTCTTTACTGGAATTTCTGGGGGGTACATGGTATAAGTCGATTCCCATTTCTTCATGGATATCCAGTTGTACCGGCACCATTTACTGAGAAGATTATTCTTCCTTGCTGTTCTACAGTGCTTTATCTGACATAAAATGTCCACATACACATGGGACTGCTTCTAGGTTCTTTACTCTGTCCCACAGGTGTGCATCACAATGCGCTAATTAACAGCTCTATAAGGTGTGACACATGACACAAGTCCTTTCACTTTCTTTAAGAGCCTTCTTGGGTATTTCTTAGTCCTGTGCATCTCTGTATGTATTTTAGAATAAGCTTGTCAAGTTCCACCAGAAAATCTAGTACTTTAAGTTTACAAATTTTTGGAAGAAAATTATACCTCCATAACTGAATCTTTTGGTCCATGAACACTATATATGCACCTCTCATTTAACTGTTTTTTCTTCAGGGTCTCTCAGTTTTACACTTTCCCTTGAGAAGTTTTGCACATCTCTTGCTACATACAATCCTTGGCATCTTTGATGTTTTTGGAAAGAGTATGCATTTCAATAACGTACTCTTCTCTTTACTGGGCCTGTTTCTTAATCTTGCAGGCCTCAAATAAAAATATACAATAGCACTTTCCCTGCAAGGCCTCCCTGACTACTACACTAGGTCAGTCCTTGATCAATCAGTGTTTTTAGATTACGCTAAACAACTTTACATCCTAACATTCATTACATTTATTACATTAACTGTTCAGTCATCTGTCTTGTACTCACCTTTGACTGTAACCTCCACAGAGAAAGATGTGGTGTCTGACTGACTACTATCTGCCCAGGACAGAAGGCATTTACATTCTGGTAAGGGAATGCATGCACACTCATTCAAGGACCGTACGCAGATTACTGGAAATCCACACTGGGGATAGTACAAGGTAAATGTGAATACAGTGGTACCTTGGGTCACAAACTTAATTCTTTCCATGATTCTGGTGGCAAACTGAGTCAAATTCAAAGGTCAGGTTCAATGTCGACCTTATGGGGAAATCTCATTTGGTTCACAACCAGTTAGGTCTGCAACTAGAATCACGGTAAGAATTAAGTTCATGACCTGAGGTATTACTGTAGTTAGATTAGACTTAATTTGTTGAATTTTAATGCGAGTCACAGAAGGTTCTAAGCAGAAGCTGACATTATGAAGTTTCACACAGTGATGGCATTCAGAATGGACTGATGAGGGAACGAGCCTGAGGAAAAGTGAGGAGAGGCTGGAGAGGTGTCATTAGAAAAGGAAAGGTGTGACAGAGGGACCGCAGCTGCACATCCCACAAGCCCGCCAACTTTTCCACCAAAGAGTGCGATTTCCAGCTCATCCAGTCACCGATAAACACTAGGTCCTAGAAGCTATTCGTCCCTTCTTTTGCAACTGTTTCTTTTTGACCAATGCCGAATGTACTAAACTTCAAATTCATTGGCATCAAACAAGTGAGAATGTTAAGTCTTTTCCATCACAAGCCCTGATGGAGTGGACTAAAGTGGCTACTGTCTTCCCACCTGTGTCAAAACACAGACATAAAGTATACTGTTCTATGCAAATTATAACCTAAATATGCAGTAAGCAATTAGAAAACCAGAAGAAACACAGGTCTGCAATACAAATTTTACCTGAGCAAACACATACCTGGTTACTGATAGTACAGCTAAGAACTTTAAACCAATCATTAATAACAGCATCATTATCAGACTGAATTAGTAGTTCTGTTCCTTGACGAGTTTTCAGCTTTAGCGGAAAGGAGAGCAAGGGAAGGAAGAGAGTATGGTCAATAAAGAACTTTCATCAAAATACATGAACACACTTAATTCAAAGTTTATAAAACGACCAGCAGGTGAGGCATCATGGATTAACAGTACTATAACAGCTATGGAGTATCTTATAGCATAAATTAATACCAGGTTAGCTACTCCCCGCCCCCCAGTACCGGGAAATCAAACTCACAACCTTGCACTTGCCAGGCAGGCGCTGTGCCGCTGAGCTAAATCCCCAGCCCCCAGGTTAGCTACTTTATAAAACATGACATTGTTTTTCATAATAAAATCTTAATGAGCACCTAGTAATTTTGGATGCCAATCTCCAACTCACAAAGTCCATAAAACTTGCTGAAGTTAGTATAACTTATTTAAAAAGAAGACCACATCAAATAAGTACTAAAGTGCTTAAAATTAAAATTGAAATGTGAAGGAATATGTTTACATAGCCTGAGAACCTTATTTGGTTATAAAAATAAATATGAAAAAAGGCTAGGGGTAAAAACTCCATCAAAAGACTTCTACATTTAATAACCAAACTTAGCAGCATAGCTGGATACAAAGTCAACACTCAAAAATCAACAGCCTTTCTGTACATGAGTAACAAACTCACTGAGAGAAATTAGGGAAACAATACCTTTCACAATAGCCTCCAAAAAAATTAAATATCTAGAAATCAAACCAATGAAGGAAGACCTCTACATTGAAAACTACAGTACCCTGAAAAAGAAGCTTGAAGAGGGTATCAGAAAATGGAAAGACATCCCTTGCTCTTGGGTAGGAAGAACCAATACAGTAAAAAGGGCCATACTTCCAAAACTGTTATACAGATTTAATGCAATTCTGATCAAAATTCCAACAGCATATCTCACAGAAGTAAAAGAAAACAATCCTAAAATTTATCTGGAACCAGAAGAGACCTAGGATAGCAAAGGCAATTCTGGGCAACAAAGGCAAGGCAGGAGCATCACAATCCCTGACTTCAAATTATACTATAAAGCTACAGTGGTAAAAACAGTGTGGTACTGGCACAAAAACAGACCTGAAGATCAGTGGAACAGATTAGAAGATGCAGAAACATCCCTGGGTACACTCAGCCACTTTATCTTTGACAAAGGTGACAAACACATTCACTGGAAGAAAGACAGGCTTCTTTACTAAACTAAATTCAAAATGGATCAAAGATCTAAATATTAAAACAGAAACACTAAATCTGCTGCAAGATAGAATAGGTAAAACTCTTGAAGCCACTGGTGTCAGCAAAGACATTATGAATAAAATCATGACTGCACAGGAACTATCACAAAGAATCAACAACTGGGATCTCATCTTATTAAAAAGCTTTTGTACAACAAAAGAAATCACCAACAAAGACACAACTCACAATGTGGGAAAAAATGTCTGCCAGCTGTTCCTCAGACAAAGGATTACTATTAAAAACATATAAAGAACTAAAAAAAAAATCAGATCTTCCAAATTTAAAGACCCAATCCAGAAATGGGCATCTCAGATGAAGAAATACAAACAGCAAATATATGAAAAAATGTTCAACATCACTGGTCATTTGAGAGATGCAAATTAAAACAACACTGGGATTCCATCTCACCCTGGAAAGAATGGCTATTATCAAGAAATCAACCAATAACAAATGCTAGTAGTAGGGAAAAAGGAACCCTTCTCCACTGTTAGTAGGAGTGTAGACTGGTGCAACCACTGTGGAAACCAGTGTGGATATTCCTCAAAAAACTAGGACTAAAGGTCCCATTCAACCCCGCTATTCTGGGTATATTCCCGAAAGAATTAAAAGCATACTACCACAGTGAGAAATGCACACCCATGTTTATATCAGGACAGTTTTGTAATAGCTAAATCTTGGAAACAACTCAAACACCTATGAACTGATGAGTAGCAAAATCAGTTTGTAACAGCCAAATCATTGAAACAGCCCAAATGTCCATCAATCGATGAATGGATAAAGAAGATGTGGGGTTTTTTTAAATACAATGGAGTACTACTCTGTCATAAAAAAGGATAAACTTGAGATATTCCTAGGTAAATAGATGTACCTGGAGACCATATTTTTTGTTTGTTTTGTTTTTCGTTGTTTTGGTACTGGGAATCAAACTCATAACCTTGCACTTGCCACGCAGGTGCTATGCCACTGAGCTGTATCCGCAGCCCAAGACCATATTCTTAAGTGAAATAAACTGGACACACATGTGTAAATACCACATTGTTTCTCTGGTGTGAGAAACTGAAAGTGTAAATAAGGACCAAAATATATAACAGGTATTGTGAAATAGGAAGAAAATGTCCAAATGAGGAGGGGGAAAGGAAGGAAGGGAAAAGCAAAAAAAAACAGTGAGAAAAAAAGGAAACAAAGCTTTTGTAAATGAGGAAGGGAGGAAGGGTTGAAAGGAGAGGAGGAGAATGGGGAAAAAAAAAGAATCAAGTTATATCGTGTACAGGTACAAATTCTCTATGATGAAGATGACCATTTTGTCTATCTAAAATGTACCAATAAACTCTGATTGAAAAAAAAAGACTGGGGGTAGATTTTTAGTATTTCCCACTACATAGGCAAACACATTGGCTGAGTACAAAGACAGGCACTAACAGTAAATATAGCATCCCTTTTGGGCAGAATTATTACTAAACTGTCAAATCATGAATGGAAGACAACAAGGTTCAAAACTTCTTACACTTCAATGGGAAAGAATTTTGAGGCAGCTTTGGAAAGTGCCCCTCACCTATTCTGGTTCGTAACTGAATTTGTTTTCCCTAGAAGAACATACAGTGGTATTTCCCAAACAACACTTCAAGCATATTCTTCAAACACAGCTCCCCAAATAATGTTTAAGCAAGATATCCATTCCTGAAGGAATGGCTATCATCACCCACTCAAAAAAACAAGAAATGCTAGCAAGACTGTGGAGAAAAAGGCACCTTTCCTGGAAGGAATACAAACTAGTATAACCACTGTAGAAATCAGTATGGAGGTTCCTCAAAAAACTAAAAAGAGAGTCTGGGTGTGGTGGCACATTCCTATAATCCCAGCACTAGGGAAGCTGAGGCAGGAGGATCGTTGCAAATTCAAGGCCAGCCTGAGGTATAAAGTGAGTTCAATGCCAGCCTGAACTGCATAAGGAAACCCTGCCTCAAAAAAACAAAAAACAAAAAACAATACCTAAAAATGCCATTTGAAACAGCTATACCCCTTCTGGGTATCTTTTCAAAAGAGTTAAATATATCACATTACTGTGATACAGGCATACTCATGTTTATAGCAGCACAACTCAAATAGCTAAGTCTTGGAAATTGCCTGTATGTCCATCAACAGATGAATGGATAAAGAAAATGTGATATATACAGTGGAGCGCTACTTAGCCATAAAGAAGGATAAATACTGCATGGTTTCTCTTATACAAGAAACCTAAAGTATAAATGACTCAAAGAGCAAAATAAAAGATAATAGGAACCAGAGAGACAGAACTTTTGCAGATGGAAAGGGGATCTAAGGATGGAGGGGAGGGGAGAGAGGAGACAGGGAGAGGACATGAAAAGGACTAAGATGCAGTATATGCCAGCTCCTCATGATGAGCGTACTCATTATGCACTGCAAACACGCAATAATAAAAAATTTAGGAATTTTAAAGTGAAAAAAAGAAAGGAATTTCTCAAAAAATACATTTGAAAAATTATGTAATAATAATTTGGAAAATATTGCAATGAAGGAAGTTGAACAAGATGTTTTCCCTCAAACTTTCTCAGGCCTCTGATATTCTCGGGTGCACTGTTATTTTGTGCGATAGGGATAAAATATGTACTCTTTCTCAAATTTATTTGACATGCAATCTTTTCATTCTGTAATCATCTACTGAAACGGCAAAGCTACATGACGGTGGCTTCCTTCCACGCATCCTTCCAGAGCTGGTCAAGCCAGTCAGCCAATACTGAACGTTCAGTGTACACTCATCTTTGTTAGAGGCTCTAAAAAAGTGTCTCTGTTTGAAGGCAAATTTTTTAAAAAAAATTTAATAATCTAATGAAGACTCAAAGTACACTAAAAAATATATTATTTTTAAAGTTAAAAAAGAACATCATTGTTGTTCTGCTTGTCATGACTCCTGATAAGCAGAGATTAGCATGGGCTGGTACTGATGGCAAAAGAAGAGTAATAATCACACAGTGCTACTTGGGGAATGACAATTAAACCAATCTTGCCAGACAACAAGACAGGAGGGCAGAAAGGGAAGCTGGCGCCTGGGAGACAGCAACACAGTCCCGCCAGCCCTCCGATCTCTGGATGTACGTCTTCGGCCATGGACCTGCTGCTCCTCTGGACTCGGCTGGCCTCCGGAACTGTTTCAACGCACAGAATACACCAGGAGTGTGTGGTGACTAAGCTGACTACAGACGAGCCTGTGGTGTTCTACTCTCATGCTCCTGGAGCCCTGCCACTGCCACGGGAAGCAGCCTGGGACAATGGAAAGGTGACAGAGAAAAGAGACCAACTACCAGCCAGACCGCTACCAGCCACACGATAAGGTCACCTTAGCTTAGCCCATCCGGCCTCTCTCAAACCTCCTGAATGGCCCCAAGTGCGAACAGAAGACAGTACGCAACTCAGCCCACAGGAGGAAAGAAATGGCACTCTCACCAAGCTGCTCAGTTTCAACGTGGTCTACTACATACCATAGTAACGAACGACAGAGGATATTACTGCGGAGCGTTTTCATGGAACAGTAGAAAGGTTTTGATTTCTTTTTGTAAGATTTCATTTTTTAAAGCTGGTTTTTGGTCCACAGCAAAACTGAGAGAGTATACAAGATACTGCATATATGGACAGCCTCCCCAATATCAGTATTTCCCTTACTTTATTTTTTAACGTTAGAGTTGGTAGGTAAAGGGAACCACATTTTTATTGTTGCAGAGGAAAGGCAGGATTTATGAAACAAAGGCTTGTAATACACAGTTCCAGTTACTTATGTAAATGAAGCTGATTTTTATACCATCTTTCCCTCTTTAAACTATGGCATAAACTGACTTAATCACCGATTTTGCCTTAACTATAAGACAAATGAAAGACTATTCCCCAAAGAAAGTACAGTTAGAATAACGATACTTAAGAATGTGAGAATAACTAGTTGAGAATGTGAGCTATATTTTTAAAAAAATTATTACCTCAAATACATTCTTCTTGCTGGATTTATCCTTTGAGGCCATCTCAATTGTTGCCCCCTTGAGGTCCACTGTGAACTCCGGTTTGGACTGATTACTCCCAAACTTCAGTTTAGAAAAGAGGAAAAGCCTTTATGTGATATCCACACATATGTATTTAGAAAGAATTAGTATTTATACTATTAATAATAAACCAAATAGAAGATGATCTTGAATTATCCCCTTTCTGTAGTATAAATAACTGCTACTATAAAACTGAAAAATGTGTGCTGGCGATATAGCTCAGTGGCACAGCACCTGCCTGGCAAGCGCCAGGTCCTGAGTTCAATTTCTTCACCCAAAATATGTAAGTAAATTAAATTAAATTTTAAAATGTCTAGAAGTATGAATGTACAGTTTATAAAAAATAAAAGTGGCTCCATTTTTATATATGGCCACAATGAAATCTGTTTTTTTCACTACCCATCAGAGTGGGAAAAATCCGAAACAACGTTGGTGAGGCTAGAAACTGACAGGCCCTCAGACCAAGTGGACATGAACTGTGAAAACCCTGGGAGGGAGAACGGACAACGCTACTGTTTGCAAACTGGCTGATACAAGGACACGTCACTGGCTTAGCAGTTCTGTTTCTTCAAATTCACCCTGACTATATGTGGCTATGTAAACACAGCACGGTTAAAAAGGCAAAGCAATATTCTGAAACATGTATAAATAATATCAGCCGGATGCTAAGTACATTTTCCACCTAATGAACATTCTCTGACCCTAATGTTGTGCTTTCAGGAGTTATTTTCTTATCAGTTATTTATGTTGTCAACAGCTCGCTTCTGGAAACAGAAAGCCCCAAGCCCTATCTTTTTCAGCCCTTGTTAGAACTGTAAGTAAAGCCAGAAGCTAACTGTGGAGAGGAGGGCAGGCGGCTCTGAGGTGGGTGGCTGAGGGAAAGAAGCACTTACTTATTATATTGTGTAAGGCAGCTAAGGAGAGCAGCAAACAGATAATGTACATTAAATACATACGTATTCTGTATTTGGCCCTCATTTACTTACATTTCTGTTAGTCTGCTATGAACATAAAACAGCAATCTATGGTACTGAAATGGATGTTTTCAACTTTTAAAAGCTGTTTAATTGTAACCTAAAGGTCATAAAGTTATAAATATTTCTTATAGCTGATAAATTTTATTTGCTTAAACAGTGACGATATTTCAAGTCAAAGTGTACCTTATGGTAACTTATTACTTATCATCTCAATAATTCTACTTAGCAGCTTCACATGTAAGAAATGGTTAGATTTCAACTGTTTTCTTTTCATCTACTTAGCTAGTTGTGTAGACTAAAAGCACTTATTAAAACAAAATTCAGGAGTGATATGAACTTTATTAGTGGAATCATAATAAAAATGACAATAAAATTTTAACCATGTCCTACAAAGTCTTTGCCATTTTAAGTACTTTTGTCATCCAGAAATACTCTAATAACCATAAATTTATATGATGAGCACAAGTAACTTCCTAAGCAGAAATGATACATCTCGAAAATAATAGTTTGAATATACATTTTAAAAACGTAATAAAAATCAATTCATTTCTTGTCATTATATACTATATAGTTATGTAAGATACAACCAATCAACCAGTTAAACATAAATATGATACCATGAAATAGAATGCTAGAAAAATGTGATCAATAAGGTTGGCAACAAATTTTTGTCTGCTATTTACGCTTTTCCAGAATCTAGCCCAATTTACTATAATTACTTCCCTGCCAATGTAATCATGGCAAAAAAAAAAAAAAAAACTGTGGCAAGGGGTATGCAAAAGGAACACATACAGTAACAGCTGAAACTGGATCAGACTTTACATATGCGACAGCAGGCCGACGACTGACAGAATTTTTCCAAGAAGAAAGCAGCGAAAGCAAGAACTCAGAGACTGAGCCCTGTCGGCAGAACGACTTGATGGGAAAAGGGAAGAAAACGATGTCAAACAGTGCACAACGACAAAGTGGCACACAAGAGAAAAGTGCACAATGGAACCAGGTGGGACACCAATTCTATAAGCAGACGCAACACAAGCAAAGCTAAACTTCCAAAACACTCTTGCAAAACCCCTAGAATTTACGAGTATTTTCTAATGTTATTACATAAATTTGCACTTCATTTTTATGATGAATGCTTTACAGCACTCATCTTAAAATAGACTGTTCTCAGCCTGTATTCACAAAATACTGGATGGGTAACAGAAAGCACTCTGCCACCTCGCTCAGTCCGCTGCTCGGGAATCCCCAGGCCGCCTCCTGCTGGCCTGCTGGGCGAGGTCCTCTGGTACCCCTTCTTCAGGCGCTTCTTGGGAGCGGCCTCCCCATCTAGCTTGCCTGCTTCTTCCTCTAGGAGAGTCATTCTGCCCTCCAGAGGACATTCAGCAACGTCTAGTTTTCTCAGCAGAGGTGCGGGTGCTGGTCATCTGCTAAACATGCATAGTACATAAAGCAGCCTCCCCACATACCTACAACAAATACTGGGCAAAATGGTAATTTTTTGATAACCAAAAGCGTATAATGTTTGAATAACTCCTGGTATTTGGAGAGTGATTTTTATATGGACAATTATCACATTGTAACTATTCACTTGCCAGTCCTCCCCACTAGATGGAAGCACTGAAGACAGGGCCCATGTGATTTCAGTCTAAATTCCCAAGCTTACAAAAATGCTTACAGCATTGCGGGCTTTGTGTGCACTGAACAAACAAACATGTGCACATTTCTAAGGTGAAATGAGATGACGAAGAGAAGAGAGGAGGGCCGGGGAGGGGAGTGGAGGGGAGGGGAAGGGTTGTTAAGTTTATTTTACTGATACAGTAATCCAAAAATATTATTAGGACTTTCCAGAAAACTATCCTGAAGGAGAAGGAAAGGCTCACTAGAGCTTTGGTTGATAAAACTTTGTAAAGTGGAGCTGTAGGCAGCACACATGTATTTCATTTACTAGATTCTAACTACTCAGTCTGCATAAATAAACAAGTAACATGAATGATCTAAATCAACAGAATGAGAATGGTGTGGGTGATTTTGCTCAGCTTCCCATCACTGAGCATGTGCCCTTGAGTGAGTATGCGATTTAACCTATTTGTTCAAGTGGATCTCTTAGCTTTTTACACTAAATATGAATTTAATTTTTGAAGAATTATACTTCTCTTACAATGTGGTCCCTTAACAACTAGTTAGTTTCTAACTGAAGGACACCAAAGAAAAAGACTGCCTCTGAGAAAGATCAGCTTCAAAACAGCACCTGTGATTTTTATCTTTCAGGCATTTACACTACTAGCCTTACATTTTCATCCTGAAGTAATATGTGGTTCCACCAGAAAAACAAGACACCCTTTACTGCACAGATCCAGCTGAGCACAGAAACAAAGCTACAATTCTTTCCAATCCTGCAACCTTTGCGGGGGGGAAGCACAGTACTGGGGAGTGAAGGCAGGCCTTTTTCAGTTTTGAGACAGGGTCTGCTAAATTGCCCAGAGTGGGCTTGAATATGCCATCCTCTTGCCTTAGTTTTCCAGAATTCTGGGATAACAGACCTGTGCGAGGCAGATCTTCCATATTTCAACTATTTTTGATACTTCTGAAATAGTACTTCAATGTATATATACTCACATACTTTTTACTTAGTGTTACTTGCTTTTACTTTAACCATTTAAATTTGCTTTTACTCCTTTAATATGTGAGAATGAGTCCGAGGTTTAGAAATTAGCCATAGCTGAGCATGGTGGTGCACACCTGTAATCCTGGCACTCAGAAGGTTGAGGAAGGAAGATCAACATAAATTTAAGGCCAGCCTGGGCTGTATAGTGAGTTCAAGGCCAGCCTGAACTATACAGTGAGACCCTGTATCAAAGGAAAGGGAA